GGGCTCCCCGCTCCTCCACTCACGGAGCGGCCACAGAAGCCAGAAGTGGGGAGGAGCGCAGAAGCCGGAGCCAGGCAGGGCGAGGGGCGGGGAAGCGGAGCGCGCGACCTGCGCCCCGCACGCTCCGCCCCAAACCGGCAAGATGGCGGCGGCTGAGCCGCCCACTTCCCCCCTCGGGGGCCACGTGACCCCGAGGGCTACGCGCGGGTAGGCCCTGGCGGAAGAGAAGGGATTAGCGGCAGCTAAACTGGCCTTCTTGGGGATGCTCGAAGCCTGGGGACGTGGCGGGAGCATCTTAGCCCTGTCCCTGTCCCCTAAACTTGTTCATTTACGTAGGGACAATAAATGGTTATAAGTTATGGGAATACAAATAACCCCAAAACATTAGGTATGGCGAAGGTATGGCAAGAATGACCACCAAGTCCCCGGGCCCCACAGAAGCTACAGCCATCGTTTTACTTTCCATTTTGCCTGAACTCTGGCAATGGAAATTGGGGATGGGATAATGCAGAATGGGGATGGGTTGGGGGACGAAGAGTCAAACCCAAAGCAGACATCAGAGTAATCTGTTTGCTCTCTCAACCAGAATACTTCTGGTCATGGGGAAAGTCACTCACTGCCAAAGGGTCCGTATCATAACAGGAGGCCTGGAGAGTTTTTGTGAGCGATTCAGAACCCCCATTCTATGACCAGAATTTTCCTGGACGCTTCGCTGCAGTAGTCCCCAGTTTCAGCCTGCAAACTAAATGCAAAAGTCAAGAAAATGTTAACACGTGAAAGAAGAAAAACAGTGGTCAAAACATGAAAAAAAAAGTTGACCCTAACCAAACTCTTCCAAACGAAACAATGCCTTGACGGTTTTCATCTATCAACTAGAAACACAAAATCTGAAATTGGTATGAAAATCAGGTTTCTGATTCCAAAGCAAAGGCAGAACAAAAAATTTTAAACCAAAAAATTCCCATTTTCTAATTTATGTTTCCATATTAAATTTAAAATATATCTAATTTCACGTGTTTGTATAATGGCATTTGCTTATAACATAGCTCAGTAAGAATAAATTCTTTTTTAAAATACTTTCTTTTTTTAAAAATATTTCTTTCTTTAATTTTTTTAAAATATTTTATTTATTTATTTGCCAGAGAGAGAGAGCACAAGCAGGGGGAGCAGCAGGCAGAGAGAGAGGCAGGCTCCCTGCTGAGCAAGGAGCCCAAGGCAGGACTTGATCCCAGGACCCTGGGATCATGACCTGAGCAGAAGGCAGACACTTAACAGACTGAACCACTCAGGCGCCCCAGGCATTTGAATTTTTGATTCCTGACTTTTGGGTTTCACGGCTTAAGGTCTTCATCATGTCAAGGTTATTAGTATATTCCATATATTTTTTAACACTTGAATGATTCTGTTTTCCAAAGTTAGTTTATCTGGAATTTTATGTGTGAATCCTTACATAATCAATCTATTAAGTTAACATCTAAAACTACTTTTCATGGATGGATAGTCAATTTTGTTCAAACATGAATTAGTATTACCTGTATAGTGAGAAGTAACAGTGAGGGAATGAATGAAACTTGCCAAATGCTCATCATCCACATCTCAGTCCACTTCTGTTTTCTTTTAGTTGTGTAATTTAACAGTGAAGAGATTTTGTTAATGGGATTTCTTTGTGAAAAGAAAACAAAATACCAGTATCGATGGAAATATCGATCACTGAGAAAGTGATGGCTCTTAACCAGAACATATGAGTTATATGTAAGGTTTCTGTACAGTTTAAAACATTTCATAATGTGTCCTATGCAACAGAGACCCTCCACTCAGAGATTTGATTACACCAGCTAAATAGCATAAAAGGCCTGTCAGAGTGAAAATGGGGAAAACTCCTGCTCAAAATATAACCTAGAGTCCATTTTTTTAAACAATAAACTTTCTAATTGCTTCCAAGCAGAGGCAGCCCATGGAGCACATCATAAGGATGGATAACAGCTTCTATAGATGAAAGCTCCCGGAGGTACAAGTCACATGATACTTGTTTTAGTTGTTTTCCAGAAACTAAGAGGCCCACTGCTACCCAGTTCAGATGGGTCAAGACCTTCTTACTGGGCTTGCGCAAATGTCCACAGGTGACCTTTTGACATGGAGGAGACTGAACTTTCCACCCCCTGATCATGTCAATACCCCATCTTTGAACAGGCGACATAGGAAAAAGCATGACAATGGACTGCGCCTGCGTAGATCAACAATTCCTTGACCTTTAGTCACTCTTTCTAGCTTCCAATCCCATTCACCCATGCTCTCCCTAAAATCGCATAAATGTTCAAGACCCCTTCTCACAGGAAGGGAGCTTTGAGACTTGTTCTCCCATCTCCACACTTGGCTGCCTTGCAAATAAATTCCTTTCTCTGCCACCTATCTGCAAGTCTCAGTGATTGGCTTGCTGCGCATGGGGCAAACTGAACCTGGTTAGGTAACAACTGAAGGGTGACAGTGTATGTAAGTTGAGCTGCCATATAAAATAGTCCAGGGGCGCCTGCGTGGCGCAGTTGGTTGAGCGTCTGACTTTTGGATTTTAGCTCAGGATGGTGAAATCCAGCCCAGCCTGGGGCTCTCTGCTCAGAGCCCCAGAGTCTGCCTAAGACTCTTTCTCCCTCTCCCTCGGCCCCTCCCCCTGCTCTCTCTCGCTCAAATAAATAAATAAATCTTAAAAAATAAAATAAAATAAGATAGTCCAGAGAAGATGATTTTAGTCATCTCTGGCTTTGTGACATCAGGAGATCTGGGAATCTGGCAGACCTTAGCAGGGTGCATTGATATCTGTGTTTCCTTTCATTTGGGGCACAAGGAAGGATACTCTCTTCCTTCTTTCAGAAAGGGGGCCATGTTACTATTTCTAACCACTATAGACTGTGAATGGAAGCACTTCCGGGCCCAATCAGGAAAGAATAGTTGTAAGATTTCCATGCTCTCTCCTCCCTTGCTGTGGCAACTGAGAAAGCCACATGTTCCAGATGGTACAGCCTGTCAGCCTGGGTCCCTGAGTGGCTGTGTAGAGCAGAATACCACACCCTACCCTGAGTTGAACATATACCATGAGCATGAAATAAAGCTTTGTTGTGTAAAACACTGAGATTTTGAAGGATAATTTGCTACCACAGTATAACCTCCTGAATGTGACTATTATGAAGGTGTTTTTTGGTGGTGCCTTTACTCCCATTAAATTACTTTGATGAAAAAATAATTTAAAATATGTGGCACCTGGCTGACTCAGGTAGAGCATGCAACCCTTGATCACACTTCATGAGTTCAAGTCCCATGTTGGGTGTAGAGATTACTTAAAAATAAAATCTTTAAAAATAAAATAAAAATAAAAAATCTGCCAGAGGGCTATGCCCTGCCTTTATTAGCCTATATATGAATTTTGGTTACCCATGCTGAAGAAAATGTTAATAGGTGTTTACAGATACTTGGAGTTAATATATATTTTTTTTAATTTTGAAACGTTAGGGCACCTGGGTGGCTCAGTTGTTAAGCGTCTACCTTCGGCTCAGGTCATGATCCCAGGGTCCTGGGATCGAGCCCCACATCGGGCTCCCTGCTCGGCGGGAAGCCTACTTCTCTCTCTCCCACTCCCCCCTGCTTGTGTTCTCTCTCTCGCTGTCTCTCTCTCTGTCAAATAAATAAATAAAATGTTTAAAAAATAATAATAAAATAAAAGCCTGGTCATTTCATTCAAAGCAAAGCCATGATTAGTATACTCTACCCACATGCTCAGAGCACCCAATTTGAT